CAGCTGCGCGCGCCTCGCCGGGCGGGGAGCGAGGGGTGCCGCGTCAGGGTGGGGATCTCGGGGGATCCGGCCACACACACACACACACACACACCCCTTCGGATATAGGAGAGTCCTCTACAAATCACCCCGCGTCTCTGCCCCCCTCCGCCCCCCGTCCTGGTCCCGGGTTCGGGGGGAAAGGCTGAGTGATGTGTCGGAGCCCACCCGGTCCACCCCAACCCCGGGGAGATGTACACTCCCGGCCCTTTCAGACCCCGATGGGCGAGAAGTGGGAGGACGCAGAGAGGAGACGGAAAGAGAGCAGATTGCCGAGAAGGATTAAAATGTCCGATTCTCCCGACTCCCGTGCGGGGCGGGAGCGGGCGGGGGGCCTTGACCGGCTTCCGAGTAAAACAAGCCGGGTGGGTCTACTGAGCATGCCCGTCCCGGGCCGCCGAGGGTCGCTCCGGCTCCGCGCTCCGCGTTTTCCGGGCGGCCGGCGGGCAGGCCCGGGGTGGGGGCGCTGCCCCGCCCGGGACTCGGGATGGAGAGGCTGGCGGGGTAGGGGGTTAGGGGACGGGGTAGGCGTGCTGGGGGCTCCGCTAGGTTTACGTGAAGTTGTGAATAGATCCACATTACTTTGGAAGCTGAACTTTCTCACTCTGAGTCGACACCCTTGATTGGATCGCGTTCAGAGCTTCCCTGTTCCCCGTTTTGGAAAGACCCCTTTTGGGAGGTTGTGAGGGAGAGTCAGGGATATATGGGTGTTTAGCTCTTTCAGTAACGTCATCACACGAAAGCCCCAAATCCGTGATAACCCCTGTTCTGGTGACAATCCAGGATACGTTGATAACATCCTGATATTCGGATCAGTAAACATATCTGAGTTATTCCCCGAATATGCCATTTCTTTTATGGTATCGTTAGTAATTGATGGGAGAATCAAGAGGTGACCTGCTAGGAATACTTCCATCAAAAGGTCCCTTTTGGCCTTGGCTAGTTTGGCTCAGTGGATGGAGCGTCGTCTGGGGACTGAAAGGTCCCAGGTTCGATTCCGGGGTGAAGGGCATGTAGCTTGGTTGTGGGCACATCCCCAATGGGAGGTGGGCAGGAGGCAGCTGATTGATGCTTCTAACTATCCCTCTCCCTTCCTCTCTGTAAAAATAAATAAATAAATAAATAAATAAATAAATAAATAAATAAACAAATAAAAATTTAAAAATCGATAAAATATCGATATATTAAAAAGAAAGAAAAAAAAGAAAAAGGCCCCTTTGGGTAATGAACAAGGCAAAAGAAAACTGGAAGGTTTCTTTAGAGGAACATGAAGTACCCGGAGCGGAGCGGGTAGCACTAGAGTAATACAGCTGCCATTAATGACCTGTTTGCAGTGTGCTTGACTCAGTACCCTCACTGGATAGCCCTTTAGTCTTCCCAGCGGCCCCATTTGTGGGTATGATCCTGACACTACAGACAATGAAGCCAAGGCCCGGAGAACCTGGAAACCTGCTGGAAGGTGGCACCAGGACAACCAACCAGTGACCGGGTGAGTTCTGGGCCTTGGATGCTTTTCTTAGCTCCTCTGGCTGCTGCTTAGAGGACAGGGCCAGTCATTCGCAGCTATTAGCAGGCAGCTGGATAAATGAGTAGGGATGACACCAATTCTGCTTGGCTGCCTACAGAAATCAGTAAGTAACCACCTCACCTGCCACCGTGTCATTTGGGTTTTCTAAAACTGGAGGGTGGAGCCAGAGGTGCCCATTGGGGTGGATAATTTTGATATGGATAAGTATGTGTATTCCCAGAAGTCCAGGAAGGACCGAGTGGGACCTCATTCAACAACTCTTAAGAGAAAAGCAACAATGGCCACAGGTGGTAACTGGATAGACACCTTAGCTCTATGGGGATTTAGAGACCAATGAGATCTTGCTCTGTCCAGTGTTTTCTCATAAACTCTCAATGGCCTCAAGTGCTGAGAAAGGCAACCTTGGCCTTGTCATCTCTGTCTTATGAAGAAACGGGCCAAAACCGGTTCGGCTCAGTGGATAGAGCATCAGACTAAAAGGTCCCGGGTTCGATTCTGGTCAAGGGCATGTACCTTGGTTGTGGGCACATCCCCAGTAGGGGGTGTGAAAGAGGCTGCTGGTCGATGGTTCTCTCTCATCCATGTTTCTAACTCTCTTTCCCTCTCTTCATCTCTGTAGTAAAAAATCAATAAAATATATTTTAAAAAGAAAAAAAAAAGAGAGAGACTTAAGAATTGCTTCAAGCTTCATTCAGGGTCTTCAGGCTGCCAAGAGAAAGCCAGAGCCCAGGTATTCTTTCCATCTGGTGCCCTTTTTCACCACCAGACAACAGCATTCAGCATCAAAGGTGGTCAAGCCCGATCCATCCCCAGAAAGTTCATGGTTGTGATCAGCACTAAGCTAGGGTGAACCACGAAGTTTGCCATGATTCAAGGTGAAACTCTATCTTTAGAGGGCTTGTAGCTCTCCAAATGTGTGTGTGTGTGTGTGTGTGTGTGTGTGTGTGTGTGTACCCTTTAGATGTGCTACATTTGAGGAATGTTTAATCTACTTTACATTCATTCAAAGGTTGCTTTTTAGTTAAAATATGTGTCGTCTCTTAGCACATTTGGGAGGATGGAAAAGTCTCCTGTGATTGGAGAGCAGGAAGGTGTCGGGCCTGTATCTCTTGCTCCCCAGCAAAACCCCAGAAAGAATACCCAACAGCTACGCAAATTGTGGAGCCCACTGCAAAATAAAGATGTGGAGTCCTCTGTTTGTTCAAACACTATAAAGAATGTCGAGCCAAAACCGGTTTGGCTCAGTGGATGGAGCATCGGCCTGCGGATTGAGAGGTCCCAGGTTCAATTCCGATCGAGGGCATGTACCTTGGCTATGGACACATCCCCACTGCGGGGGGGGGGGGGGTGCGGGAGACACCTGATCGATGTTTCTAGCTCTCTATCCCTCTCCCTTCCTCTCTGTAAAAAATCAAATATATATATATATATATATATATATATATATATATATATATATATAATTTTATTTTATTTTTTTTAAAGAATGTCAAGACTCCAACAGCAGAGCATGAAAACAAGGAAAGGTCCCTGAGCAGGATGTGTGCCCAGGAAGCAAGGCCTGCCCAAGGCCCAGACAGTGCTGCTTTGGAGAGCATGGGCTCACCTAGGCCACGGTCCCTGGCCAAGATCAGAAAAATAATTTGAAGGTAAAGGAAAGGAAAAGGGGCCCTAGCTGGGTTAGCCCAGAGGATAGAGTGTCGGCCTGCACGCTGAAGGATCCCAGGTTTGATCCCCATCAAGGGCACATGCCCAGGTTGCACTGTGGGCTCCATCCCCAGTAGGGGGTGTGTAGGAGGCAGCCAATCAATGATTCTCTCTCATCATTGATGTTTCTTTCTCTCCCTTCCTCTCTGAAATATATATATATATATATATATATATATATATATATATATATATATATATATATATCTTTTTTAAACGGAAGGAAAAGGGTACTCCAGGAACTCTTTTCTCCCAATTTCACTGTTCCAAACAAAGCCACTGGGCTGGCAATCTCTGATCCAATAACCAAGGCCTTCAAGAGTTTGGGACAGGGCCATCCTCCACCAACAGGAGAGAAAATAAAATAAAACATATATATTTGGGCTTACTTTTTAACCCAAGAAAGCCCGTCATTTCTCCTTAAAATGCAAACGTTTGTCGACTGCGTTTGTGGACTTCTTTTATTCTTTTTATGCCCGTTCCCTTACCAAGACAAAAGAAGAAGAAGAAGAAAACATCCTAAGATTCCCCTTGAAACTGACAAGCCTCTGCCATTCAGAACCTAGGCAAAAGCACCTGTGCCGCTCTCACCCTCCCACCCCTCGGTGGGGGAGTAGCTGATCCTCAGAGCCCGACCACCGCTCGCTCCGGCCCTACCCTGAGCTCTCTGTCTCCACCCTTCCTCCTCCTCCTCCCCACCCCCTGATTTTTAATCCAGGGGTTTGGTGGGAGGGAGGGAGCTGAACGCGAGCCAGATGTGTGCGAGTCCCCAGCTCCCGCCTCCTCCCTCCGCCCGGGCATCTCAAAACCCGGAGCTGAGCCGGAGGAGGATCCGGAGTCACAAAGACGCGGTGCAAACAGCTCGGCTCCGCGGCTCCCCCGGGAGTGGGAGCCAGAAGGAGGGGCGGGGGGGGGGGGGGAAAGAGAGAGCTGGGCATGCTCAGTAGACGGGACAAAGTTGCTTTTTTCCCCTCTCTCTCTCTCTTTCTCTTTTTTTTTCCCCCTCCACCGCTCTCTCTCTCTCTCTCTTTTTTTTTGATCGCAAGTAGGAAGCTTTTTGCACTCCACCACCTCTGGCCGCTGGGAAGACGTCATCGCTTCCGCCCCACTTCCTCCTCCCGTTGGCGGCGTTGAGAATCCAATATGGAGTAAAATCGGTGGAGCGGAGAGATGGGGCTCGGACGGGGCGCCCTGCACCGCCTCCCAGGCGCACCTCCCCCGGCCGCCGACCGCTCCCCGGAACCGTGATTGGCCCGCCCGCCCCCACCCTCCGGGGCGACCCCGGACCGAGCCCCCGCCCGCCCGCGGCCGGCCGGCCCCCGTCTCCTCCTCTCGCCAGCCTCCGCTGCTCCACGGCGCGCTGGTGTTTTTTTTTTTTTTTTTTTTTCCTCCCTCCCCGCCGTCCCCAGCCCCATCCTCTCCCCCTCCGCTCGCTCCCGAGCCCCGGAGCCCCCGGAGCCCCCGCCCGCCGCGCCCCTCGGCGTCGCGGCGCCCCGATCCTCCCGCAGCAGCTTCTGCCTTTGCACCGCTTCCCCCACCGCCACCGGGCGCCCGGCCGTGCCGCTTCCCCTTCTGCCTCCTGCGACGCCCCCTCCGCCTCCAGGCGCCCCCCCTCCCCAGCCACAGCGGGCCATCTCCGGAGATGTGAGGCAGGGGGGCGAGCGCGCAGGAAGATGAAGGGAGCTAGGCTGCCCGCCGCGGGACAGGCGTCTAGGTGAACAGGAAAATGACCGAGGACACACACCCGGACGAGTAAGTTTGGCCGCGGGTGGGGGGACGCGTGTGGCGCCCCGCGGGGGGCAGGCCGTGTATGGGGGATCGGGGCCGAGGACGCAGGCGGGGAGGGGGGGGGCTCTCATCGGGTGAACTTGGCGTGGGGTGCAGCGACTCGCTGGCCTGTGGGGTTTGGGGCGCGAGATCCCCCTCCCCCTTGTTGATGTGAGAAAATGCGGGGGGGGGGACACATAAGCTGCTGCGGACCGGCGGGGGCGCGCTTGGGGTCGGGGGGGGGGGCGCCAAGGGCGCCCTGGTGACCTCAGGGAGGTCCCCCTCCCTCTCCGGGGTGTTACACACATTCCCCCACCACCACCACCACCATCACCATCACCACCCCGAAACCCTCCTCGGCGGCCGGAGCGGGAGACCTGACACCCCCCCCCCCCCCGTTTCGGTGTCCGGGGTCGGTGGGTGGGTTTCTATTTGGGTGACTTGGTGATTCTCCCGCGCCCGGTTGCTCGCCCTGAGGTTCTGTCGCCGGGAGCCCTCCGGGGCCCAGGCTCCGCCATTTCGTTTTTCTTGAATCGCCCTCATTTGCATACCACATTTTCATTCATAAAAAACACGGCCGAGCGAGGGGAGCCCCGGGTGCGGGGGGTCTGCGTGCGCCCGCGTCCTCGCGCCGGCTGGCGGGCGGGACGGGGCCGCCCCCGGGGCCGGGGAGCGCGCGGGGGTGTGTGCGCGCCGGGGTGCCCCGGACCCGCGCCCCGCGGGGTCCCGGAGCTCGGGGGGCGGGTCCGAGGCGTGCGCGGCGGGGGCGGGCGGGATCCTGCGGGGCAGGGCAGTGCGGGCCGGAGCGTGCGTGTGTGTGTGTGTGTGTGTGTGTGTGTGTGTGTGTGTGTGTGGAGGGGGGGTGAGGACAGACAAGGTGGGTGGGGGTCTATGTGTGCGCCCCTGCATCCGGGTGCGTGCTCCAAGGATAACAATGCTCGGGGCGCTCCGCCCCGGGGGCTCCCTGTCGGACCCATCGCCCCCCCCCCCCCCCCCCCCCGCTCCCCAGGCCCCGGCCCAGGTGCAGCTTCCTGCAGCCTCCCGGCTCAGAGTCGGGCTTGAGGGTTTGATTCTTTCCCCCAGTCCCGCCAGCGGCCGTTCCCGTGGCGGGTGCGACGCAGGCTAGGCCGCTGGGCCCGGCGCCGGAGGTCGCCGGCCTCGGGTCCGAGCGGTCACCGCACAGCGGCCGCCACTACTTACTCAGCGGCTGTGCCCGCCACCAGCCACTTTTTTTTCTCCTTCTATTTTTTTTTCCTTTTTCTTTCTTTTTTTTGTGAATAAGACGTTCTCCTTTATTGTCACATGATCGCCCTCCCCTCCTCCTCCCCTGCACATTCATAAATCCGGAGCCAGCCTGGGCTGCTTTCATTCAGAGCCGCCTGCCATGTCAGCCAGAGGTAGTGGCGGCGCCGGCTCCGGCGCGGAGACCCCGGGCGAAGCCGCGGAAACTGCCCCTGGAGGGGACCCCGGGGGTGTCTCTGGGGGCGTGGGGCCTGCGGGGTAGACAGCTCCGGAGGCCCGGGTCTCTTGCCTCCTGGAGCACTGAGGCTCTTGCCTCCTGGAGCACTGAGGCTCGGTGCAGAGAGGGGAAGTGACTCAGGGCTTGGGGAGAGAAGGCTTCTCCTGCTTAGGCAGGTGACAGAAGGCTGTGCTCCACTCTAAGAACCTACTCCTTTTTTTAATTTTTAATTTTATGATTTTATTTTATTTTTTATTTTTTTATTGATCATGGTATCACATAATTGTCCTCATCCCCCCATTCCCATCCCAAACCCCTCCCTACAGATGCCCCCACCCCCCTGTTATCCACAGCCACTGGCTAGGCCCATATGCATGCACACAAGTCCTTTGGTTGATTTCTCTCCCTTACCCCCACCTTCCCCTACTTTTTAAACGCCCCTGTATCCTTCTGCTTCTGCTGTTGCCAGGTCCAGAGGGAGGGGGTGCTGGGAGGGCTAGCCTTGGGGAAAGGGAATTTCCTTTCCTGGGGGGTCCCCAGGGAGCGTTGATGGCAGTAACCCCTCCTCTGCCGGACACAGCCGTAGCCGGAGAGGATCCCGCCTAGTGTATATAGGTTGTGGCCATCCCACTGTACCTCTGCCGGCCCTTCTGTTTTAGACATGTTGCTTGGCCTTCGTAGACTATCTTCGTAGAAATGGGGAAATGGGCGGGGGGGGGGGGTTGTGTTTCTAGGCTGAAATAATGGAGGGGAGTTATATGCTGCTGGGCCTTAACCCCTTCAGGGCTTGGTTAGTCATAGGTATTGGTGTGGGTCCTCCTTTGTCCCTGCACACACACACACACACACTGATAGCAATAGCAGCCCTGCTCTGGGCCTCGGGATTTCCCAAAGATCGACCCGACCGCCCTAGATTAGGTTCTTTGGCTCCATCCCTTGTGAATACCGGCCTGGCCGCTCCCCTTTCACGGCAGCATGCCATCTGGTATCCAAAGCAAAAGGACTTCGAGTGCGATCACCAACCAGCAAGAAATAAATACTCCGTCCCAGGCTTTCAGAGCAGTTCAGCGGGGAGGCCTGGCTGCCCCCACTGCTGTCAGAAGCCTGCCTCGCTGGGACAATGGCTGTTTGCGGACACCTTCTGGTTTCAGAACATCAGAAAGCTGTGGCCCCTCAGCCCACTGCATAGCTTCCTCGGGATTACTTTTAATGCAATGACCTCGGCAGGAGACGTGAAATGCCTGCTTAGAGAGCGGGCTGCACGTTCTATCAACTGGCACTTGTGGACACTATTATGTTGTTTGATGTTCTTATGTTATGACCCATCTGAAAAAAATTTTTTAAAAAAAAATTAGTACCAGAAAGAAGGTTTCGGTTTGAGTTACAGGGCTTGCTATGATTGCTTTTTCTTTTTGCTACTACTGTCTGGAAGCTCAGAGCCAAAATTATTGCTTGATCAGGGTAGCCATATTGGCCTAGGTTTCTTGCTAGACTTATGTATTCCTCTATAAATGATAATCTTCTGCTTTCTCTTCTAATGGTTTCGCATTTGAGGTCCCTTAGATATTTTTGGAAATAGGCAACTTTTGTTACTTAAAAAGAGAATTGATAACAATAAACTGGAGACCTAGGGGAGTTATATTTGTGCCATAGGCAAAATAGATTTTCTTGATAGTCCACCTATTTTTTTTTAATGTCTGTTATATTTTGCTTCAGAATATAACAAATCAGAATCTTAACCACTGGTAAAATTATGCTTAATTAAAAAAAATGTTTTTGTCTTCTAATGTTTCTTCTCCATGTCAATTTAAACCTCTCTGATAAATATATAGTAATTCAGGAAAGCTTACCTGTTCTATTCACTGATGGTCCTAAAAATTAGTTTTTATATAACAGCTACATTGACTCTTCTTTGATCCACTCCAGTTAGAAATGTATGTTAAGGTTAACAATTCTACACATTTTTAAAAATATAATTTAAAAAGTAAAGACCATCAACAAAATATTGAAAGTGGTCTTTCATATATAGGAATAGAAATTTTTTTTTAAGTAATACCATATCTTTAAAGCATTTGATCATGGCTATAAGTGTTTTGGAAATTTGCAGACAAAAAATGAAGAAATCCTTTTCAAATGCGCTATAACCTCGGAGACATCAGGTCTTCATTCAGCTTTTTTATTCTGTTCCTCTCCAGAACACACATCTTGCTGAGAGAATGGATTTGCAGCTTCGCCTGCAGTCATACTAATGTTGAAAGGTTTAAAAACAACAACAATAAAAAAAAAAACCCACTTAATTATTTTTGTGGAACCATTTCAAAATTAGACATCAGAACTCATATTTAAATACTTGAGCTTAGCCCTAGTCAGTTTGGCTCAGTGGTTATTTAAAACATTAGCCCACGGCCAAGACCAGTTTGGCTCAGTGGATAGAGTGTCGGCCTGCGGACTGAAAGGTCCCGGGTTCGATTTTGGTCAAGGGCATGTACCTTGGTTGCGGGCACATCACCGGTAGGGGGTGTGCAAGAGGCAGCTAATCGATGATTCTCTTTCATCGATGTTTCTAACTCTCTATCCCTCTCTCTTCCTTTCTGTAAAATATCAATAAAATATATTTAAAAAAAAATAAAACATTAGCCCACGGACCGAAGGGTCCTGGGTTCGATTCTGGTCAAGGGTATGTGCTTCAATTTGGGGGCTCGATCCCCAGCCCTGATCAGGGTGTATGCAGGAGGCAACCAATTGATGTTTTTCTCTCTTTCTCTGTCTCTCCCCCCTCCTTTCCACTCTCTCTAAAAATCAGTGGGAAAATATCCTGGAGTGAAGATTAACAAAAAAATAAAAATAATAAATACTTGAATACTATCAACAATAAAAAATATATTTTAAAAAATAAATAAATAAAATACTTGAGCTTACTTCCCAAAAAGGTGAGAATACTCTTGGGTGAGACCACAAAACCATCAGCACACTTAACAAAATTAAGAATAATTCCCTGATGTCTTTCACACTTAGTCTCAATTGTCTGAAAAATGTCTTTTATAACTGGTTATTTCAGCTAGGAGCCAACGATCCTGTGTTCAATGCCACTTACAGCGCAAAGCTTAGCCATTTGCACACTTTCAGATCCCACCTAGGTTTTATCTGAGTGTGAATAAAATATAGGAGTAAACATTAGCGATTTCATGAAGTTGTTGTGAGAATTAAATGAGATAGTTCATGTAAAATTTACAGTCTAGGACCAAGCATAAAACAGATGTCCAATAAGACTCTAGGGAGCAGAGGTTACAGGCTCCTTCCCAGGGTTATTTAATTTTCAAATAACCCTGGGAAGGAGTTGTTGTTACTTGCCTAAGACAGCAAACATTTTTTTTTAAGTGTTTGAATAAAAGTCTATTGGTTAAAAACGGATTTCATTCTTTTTTAAAATGCGGTTTCATCCCTAATGCAATGGTTATCATTGTATTTGGTTAACTGAGGGTGAGCAGAAGCCTCCTCCTGAGAAACTCCCATGCTCACATGAACC